TTTTTGGTTCTACATTGAAGTAGTTCATATTGTGTATCCATTTTAAGGCTACCTATTTTTTTTATTCATTTTCTATTTGAATAGTACAAAGTAAAAAGTCTAAAATATATTTAATTGATCTAAATAATTAAAAAAATATAATTTTTTCGGTCCAATCGGTCCGGACCGGTTCGGTCCTAAATATTTCGGTCNACTTTGATGCTCTATTTTAATAAATATTTTAATTTATTTAATTTAAAGTGTTTTTTATTAAGTAATTTTAAAAAAATCTTTAAAAAAAACATTTCATATTTGTTTTTTGGTTCTACATTGAAGTAGTTCATATTGTGTATCCATTTTAAGGCTACCTATTTTTTTTATTCATTTTCTATTTGAATAGTACAAAGTAAAAAGTCTAAAATATATTTAATTGATCTAAATAATTAAAAAAATATAATTTTTTCGGTCCAATCGGTCCGGACCGGTTCGGTCCTAAATATTTCGGTCCGGTCCGGTCCAAACCCGAATGGATTTAGGTCCGGTCTTCGGTCCTAGAATTTACTCATTTCGGTCTTCGGTCCGGTCCGGGTCGGTCCGGTTCGGTCCGGTCTTGGACCGATGAACAGCCCTACTCCCAGCCTCTCGAGGGGGAGAGAGGGAGAGAGGGAGGGAGGGAGAGGGAGAGGGAGAGAGAATCGATTGAAGAAGATGGAGTGGAAGAGATCAGAGAAAGAATCGGAGAAAACTGGGGAGAGAGGGAATCAGAGAAGAAGAGTGAGAGGATAGAGACGAAAAAGAAGATAGGATGGAGGGGAGAGAAAAGAAAATGCTAGAAGAAGAAAAAGAAGACTGGGAAGAAAGAGGATGGAATCAGAAGTGGAAGGAGACCGAGAGGACAAATGAATTTAGATGAAAAGGGGATTAGAGGTTGATTGTGAATGACGAGGGCATAATAGACTTTGTATGTTACTTTAGTTTCCATTAAAGAAAAGTGGACAAATACTATGGGACGGCTCAAAAAGCAATACAAGACAAATACTGCGTGACAGAGGGAGTAATTAGTAAACTGTAAAGCTCAAAGACACCACAGTTTCATGTTCATTTAAAACAAAATAAAGTACATAATCTCAAATGCTCCCTATCAAGAAAGCTAGGATTGTATAGGCTCTCATTTCCATTACTTAAATAAACTAGTACATAGTATAAAGTACTGGAAATAAAAAATTACAAAACAATTCAAAAGTTCGATAAAAAATCAGATAAATATATTATCTATGATTAAAAAAAGTCAGAAATGTAAAATAAAAAATATCAGAACTTGATGCCTGGTTTATACTGTATGAATGTATAATAGTGTCAAATCTGAATGGTTGAAACTTCATAATCTACTGACTACTAATAATATTGCAGAATTTTTGAAATTAGATAAACAGAGCAACATATATAGACTTAATATTTAATAATAAAAAAAGTTAAAAAGAAAGGAATCACCTTCTGCAAGCTTCAGAGAGATGTTGATGGATGCTGCTTTACCTGCTTATGACTTTCACCATCTCCAGTCGAAGTTGGAATGGTCGAAGAATTGGTAGAAGACTTGGTCGCGGGCAAGGAGCATGAGTTTTTCAGGGTTAGTTGCTCGCCTCTATACCTTCACTTGTCGTGACTAATGTGTTGTACCCGAGACCCGGGGTCTTATCGAGTAGCTATTTTGTGGCGGATTTGCGGAAGGAAATGGATGATAGAACTGAAGGGATGAAATATGGAGTGTGGGAAAGAGATCTTTTTGGTGTTTTTAATGAGAGAAAAGAATAAGTTTAAGAAAAAGAAATGGTGAGGAATGAAATGGGCAGAAATAAAGTGAAGGGATAAACCAAGTTGGTGTTAAGAGATATGACACACTCTTATCTTAACTTGGGGCTTTTATCTTCTTTTACACATTAATAATCACTACTAATGTATAAAATTAGACTCCTAACACGCACTCAAAAGTAGCCAACTTTAGAGATATTTCATTAGGAAATTTGGTTAAAATAGCATCACACTATTTTAATGAATTACTCAAAGAGTAAAACAAAGGCTTTTTAATTCAATAATCTGGTTCTTACAATGGCCTCATGGCTGAAGTATTTATACAACAACAAATAAGGAAAAATACAAGAACAATGAAGGAAGAATACAACAAGGAAGTTTCCTACTTCTTTCCTACAAATCAATGCTTAATGCCCATCCATGTGAGTTGATTTTCCATGA